AAACCCGAAACCCTCAACCCTCAACCCTCAACCCTCAACCCTAAACCCTAAACTTTGAACGAGTGGTGTTCGGCAGCAGGGCGCTCCAAACAGGAGTTGTTTCTGCCAAGTTTCAGGACCGGTTGAGCTGCGCGGCTCATGAGGGTCCCTTGGGTTTTGGAATCCTTTCGACCGGGCTTAGGGTTTAGGGTTTAGGGTTCAGGGTTCAGGGTTTAGGGTTCAGGGTTTAGGATTAGGGAATGAAGGAATGATTCTTCACTGTTCGAAGCCCTGAACCCTGAACCCGAAACCCCTATTCCTTAGTCATCCTAGGCTAAGCCCTAAACACTCAACCGCAAACCCTAAACCCTGGGAGAAGTCGACGTTCGTGCTGTGCGCACGACTCCTTTGCTGAACGCATATTTGCCAAGCGCGGGGCGCAGCTGGGAGCAACGAACCCTCGGCTATGGATCGAGAGCCAATGTCGATCGGAGCGATCACAACCAGCTAGCGAGAATGACTCTAAGCCCTAAACCCCGAGCCGTGAACCCTGAACCCTGAATCCTCCAGTCCAAAGCCCCCCAAAGGCCTGTGAAGCCCGTCGGGTGACTGGACGGTTCCTGGGTGGTTATAATTGGGGTTTAGGGTTTAGGCTTAGGGTTCAGGGTTTAGGGTTTAGCGTTTAGGGTTTAGGGCTAGTTTTAGTAGGGATGGTAGGTCTCCTAGTTCGGATCTCAAGAAGGTAGTTCCCAACTTGCCACACTACGTTTTTTTGGTAGCCACGAAGCTTCAAGCAGTCCCTGGCCACCCTAAGCCCTAACCCTAAACCCCAAACCCTAAACCCTAAACCGCGCAAGACCAAGGCGCACACTGCCCTCAGTGCCGACTTCGCTTCTTCTGCCGCTGCCCGCTGCCGGTACTTGGGCCAAGCTGGCGCCGAAGCAGCAGAAACTGGTGTGTTTGGGTGTAAGGGGTCTAGGATGTAGAGTTCCGAGTCCAGTGTTTGATTTTTTTGTTTTGGTTTGGGGTTTCAGGTTTGGGGTTTTTGCTTGATTTGGGTTCTATTTGGTATTGTGGGTCGTCTGTGTTATTAGCATCTTGTGCTCATGACGGGTAGCTTCAGTTTTCGCTGAGGCCAGTGCCGCACGAGAACAACCCTAAACCCTAAACCCTAAACCCTAAACCCTAAACCCTAAACCCCAAACCCTAAACCCTAAACCCTAAACCCTAAACCCTAAACCCTAAACCCTAAACCCCAAACCCTAAACCCTAAACCCTAAACCCTAAACCCGAAACGCTAGAAAGTATAAGGAAGGGGAGATTTGCCAAGCATGTCTGGCTAAGACTGCTTCTGGGTTGGTGGAGCCAAGCCCTGCAGCCCTAAACCTAAAGCCTCACGCCCGGTTTAGGGTTTAGGGTTTAGGGGTTTAGGGGTTTAGGGTTTAGGGTTTAGGGTTTAGGGTCTACAGCCTAGGCCCTAACCCTAAACCCTACAGCCTAGGCCCTAAACACCTAAACACCTAAACACCTGAACACCTGAACACCTAAACACCTAGACACCTAAACACCTAAACACCTAAACACCTAAACCCTAAACCCTAAACCCTAAACCCTAAACCCTAAACCCTAAACCCTAAACCACCCCCGACAGGCTCAGCCTTGCAGCCCCAAGTCGGGAGAGGCGCGAGGTGGTGGCAGGCCAGGGCACTTTGGGGCTTTGGGGTTTAGGGTTTAGGGTTTAGGGTTTAGGGTTTAGGGTTTGGGGTTTAAGGAGGTTTAGGGTTTGGGGTTTAGAGGGTGTAGGGTGTGGGGTTTAAGGTTTAGGGTTTAGGATTTGGGGTTTAGGGTTTAGGGTTTAGGGTTTCCGGTTTAGGGTTAGGGTTTAGGGTTTGGGGTTTGGGGTTTGGAGTTACGGGGTTTGGGGAGTCCTAAACCCTAAGCCCTACTACACCCACAGCGCCAGGCTTGAAGGCCTGTTTACAGTTGGGCGCCGACGCCGTGGATCGCTTGGCAGCTCGGACAAAGCTTTCGTCTTTCAGGGCTTTGGGGTTCAGGATTTAGGGTTTAGGGTTTAGGGATTAGGGTTTAGGGTTTTGGGATTAGGGTTCAGAGTTAAGTAAGGGTTCAGGGTTTAAGGGTTCAGGGTCTAAGGGTTCAGGGTTTAGGGTTCATGGTTCGGGCTCAGCAGCTCCAGTCCGGGATGTCTCCAGTCGATCTGCTGGTGTCGACAACAGAAAACCCCCCGCTCAAGGATTTCCAGAACACTGGTAAATCCAAGGTTTATTCTACTCACTATATGGGGGTTTACGAAAAGAAGGGGCCCCCCAAAACAGACCCCCAAATTCGCTTAAAAGAAGGACCCCCAACAAGCTACCCCTAGCTTCAAACCCCCATATCTTTACCTGAGCCCGTGATCTTTTGTGCCTGTGCCTGTGCCGAGGGCTTGTTTAACTCATACAAGTGCATGAAAGAGCGGTTTAAAGTGCGGCTTGGGGGCTCGTACGGTTCAGGGTTTCAGGTTTAAGGTGCAGGGTTTAGGGTTTAGGGCTCGTAAGGGTTTGGGGTTTCGGCAGGATTTTGGGTTGAGGGTTTAGGGGACTAGTTCTTCTCGCGAGGTTGATGGCCAGCGGACTGTTGTGTTGCAAGAAGCAAAGCTGCAGCACACCTCTCCCAAACCGGTTTAGGGTTTAGGCTTACATTGGTCCCTTCATGTGGTCTCTTACCTGCTTGAAAAAGGGTTCTGAAGTTTAGGCCCTTGGGTTTACAAGGTATGCAGGGGCTCCCCAATTTGGGATCATTTGAAACTGGTTTAGGGTTTAGGGTTTAGGGTTTCGGGCTTAGGGAACCCCTCCGTGCAGACCGCGTGAAGTTCCAGAGAGGTTCTTAGAGGTATTTACCTCTCAGTGCTTGTACCATTTTGCAGTAAAACCCTAAATCCTAAACTCAAGTTGCCCAAAGCCACAGCAACAACACGAAGGCTACAAACCTCGAACCCCAAAAAGCCCAACTATCAGCAATTCTTGAGAAGAGAGGTTTCGGAGCAGTGGCCCAACTGGACCGACGGCGATCGCCCCTTTGCTCATTCGTATGTCCCCGGACAAATACAGAAGAGAGAAGAATTCATGGTGCCCATAGCGAAACTTATGAGCTGAGTGGGTATCCTTCACCCTTTGGGGTATATATATCATCCTACGAAAATGCAAAGGCTAACCTTTTTTTTTTTTTTGGGTCCAGGGTACTCAGCAACTGCCAAAGCTCTTGTAGGAGGGTGACAAAAGGAGAAGCAGAGCACATCTCGATGTGGCAGTTCGGGAGTCGACCCGAACGCCTGGGCCTACTTGGAGGTTCCTGGGTACTTATTAAAAAGTTATAGAGGGTTTAGGGTTTAGGGTTTAGGGTTTAGGGTTTAGGGTTTAGGGTTTAGGGATAGCTGTACTTATAGCCTGCTAATGAGCCCCTTAAGTGTCCTAATATGGTATTAAAAAGGTTATAGCTGTACTTATAGCCTGCTTATGAGCCCCTTAAGTGTCCTAATATGGTCATAAGTACAGGTATAAGTACAGTCAGGGTTTTGGAGTACTATACTTTAATACTTTTTTTGGTTCTGGGTTCCTATTATAGCTACTTATACCTAAAAAGTATATACTTTTTTTTCAGGGTCTACTCCAAAGCCTAGTATAAGTACAGTCATAATTGGTTAATAAGTACCATGAACCTCCAAGGAGAGCATCAACGGTTTAGGGTTTAGGGTTTAGGGTTTAGGGTTTAGGGTTTAGGGTTTAGGGTTTAGGGTTTAGGGTTTAGGGTTTAGGGTTTAGGGGGCGTCTTGCTGATGTCTCTGTGGTAGGTCTTGGTAACCCCCGTGGTACCTTTTACTTTTTTTTTTGGGTATGGGTTCCCTTATAAAGTAAGAATCCCCCCCAAAAAAGGGTGCCCTGATTGTAATATGGTTACTGGGCTACTAAGAGGTGCATGACGACATTTCCAGTGTTGCTGATATTCTTGTTGCGCCATCCGTGCCCGTCCGAGGCGTGACGAATGAGACCTTCCCAAGACTCCAGGCAGCCGTTGCAGGCAGAGTTCAAGGGGTTTAGGGTTTAGGGTTTAGGGTTTACGGGGCTTGAGGGGTGAGGGTTTGTGGTTGAGGATTTAGGTGTTTTGGGGTTTCGCGCTAGAGTTAGAACCTTGCCCCCCTACCCCACTGGCGCCCCTGCCCCCCCTCTGGCCCTGCTGCCGCTTGACCTGGGATAGGATGACCCCTGCCCCTCCTAGCCTCTCTGGGGCCCCGCTAGCCGTTCAACTCCCTGAACGACTGTTTTTGCAAGTACTGAAGGTTAGAGGCCTAAACCCTAAAGGCAATGCTTTGGGTGGTGGACTGTGAAAGCTCACAGAGGGGGAAAAGAAATCCAGCACCAGTGAAAGTTGTGGGCATGCATGGAAATATGTGCCTTCGTGTGACATGCCCCCCCCCCCTCACCCAGGTATGGCTAGATGCCCTAAACCTTAAACCCGAACGCCTAGACCCTGAGGCCTAAACCCTAAACCCCAAATCCCTGAAACCTTGAGCCCCTAAGCCTGCAAACGCCCTTCGGAGGCTACTTGCCCACGTGGAACTGCGAAGGTTCCAAGGACCTCTGCTGTTTTGCGCTGGCGTGGGTCAGACAGGGACTTGGATAAACCCAAGGGCCCATATTGCGGGACAATGTAACTACCCTAAACCCTAAACCCTGAACCCTATACCCTCTACCCTATACCCTAAGCCCTATACGATTTGGAGGACCTTTCAGATGACGGGGTTCTGAGTTGGGTTTCGTGTGGGCTTGGATGCTGCAGAGTGTCTGCCACCTACGTTCAATCTATCCTCAGGTGTCCGTTTAGGGTTTAGGGTTTAAGGTTAGGGTTTAGGGTCTTGTAGGGTTTAGGGTGTAGGGTCTAAGGTTACTTGGGCACCTGTGTGTGGCGGCTTCCCTTGCAAGACCTGCCCAAGCTCGCGACTGGGCCTGCAGATCTTTGCTCTTGCCATGGTGGCCTGCCAACGCAGAATCCGGCTGCTGGTCGCGCTCGGTGTGGCCATCTTCCAAGCATGCTCCTGGGGTTGATCTGGAAGAACACTTTTACAGTGCCACGGGCTCGGATCCCTGTGTAACCAACCCTATATAGCCCGCCCCTAAACCCTAAACCCTAAACCCTAAACCCTAAACCCTAAACCCTAAACTTTGATGTTTATAGGGCTCTCACATCCACCTCAGGTCAAGGGACCAAAGGAGGGACCCGTACAAGGAACCTTCGGGGTCGTTTTGGGGTAATTTGGGGGCTACTTAGGTATATGGGTGGTTGTCAAAATTATGGTCCCTTTTTGGGTACCCTAAATATTAGGTGCCGTATTATAATAGGGACCCAAAGAGGGACCATAATTTTGACAACCACCCATATAGGGACTCTATAAGGTATATAGGGGTGATATAGGGGAACAAGATTAAGGGTCCATTCTAGGGGTCCCCCCCTTTTAACTCTAAACCCTAAACCCTAAACCCTAAACCCTAAACCCTAAACCCTAAACCCTAAACCCTAAACCCTAAACCCTAAACCCTAAACCCTAAACCCTAAACCCTAAACCCTAAACCCTAAACCCTAAACCCTAAACCCTAAACCCTAAACCCTAAACCCTAAACCGACTCAGGTTCTCCCTTGCATCTCACAGCTCCCGCTGTGATCGTGACCTTTTGCCACTGGCGCCGCTGGGCTCTGGCCAGAGCCTCCTCAAGTGTGCCGCGGAGGTCCATGGACACGGCTCCTTTGTGGCTTTTTGGGGACCAGCTGATGTTTAGGGTTTAGGGTTTAGGGTTTAGGGTTGCGTAGTACCCTATTCGACTCTGATTCCTCTGAAGGTGTATGAACCATAGGCCCTTTAGTGCTCAGCTCTAAGGTTTTCAGCATCGTTCATCCCAACTTTCCGGGCAAGCTGCCCAACGCGGAGAAGAAGTTGCGGATGGAGACCTTGCTCGAAAGCGCCACGGAGAAGGCCCAAGCAGAAGGCTACGTGTTGGGGACGGACGCCCGGGATTTTCACAAGCGCAAGGGCTGGAGTACCAGGGACTTGAAGCGATGGTTTGAGAAGAATCGGGACGGCCTCTGGTGTCAGCTCGATTTCTCCGTCCGAAGCCATGGCAGGGCGCAGATGACCGTCATCTCTGCCCCTGTCTGGGGTTACGACATGGAAGTGCACCTCAGCCAAACGCAAACGGGTTCCAAAATCGTTGTAGTCAAAGACCTCATTAACCTCAAGACATTCTGCGCAGTGGCCGGCATTGGGTACGTGAAGGCCAAGCGAAAGAACTGATCCAGGCCATATGGGGTTTATGAAAATAGCGGATCCCTAATATAGACCGCAACATGTAGGATCCCCCGAAAGCCCCCTGAAAGGGACCCCCCCAACAAGGGTACCCCCTTAATATCGTAAACCCCCCCTATAGGAGCACTCCTTAAGAGACTTAGGGTTTAGGGTTTAGGGTTGGGGGTTTAGGGCTTTAGGCTTTAGGGTTTAGGGTTTAGGGCGTTGTCCCACCCACTTGTTTTTCAGCCGTTGGCAACTGGGGCGGAGCCTTTGCCGACTCTGAAGCCTGAAGTGGGTGTAGGGTTTAGGGTTCAGGGTTCAGGGTTTAGGGTTTAGGGTTTAGGGTTTAGGGGGGGGTCGAGGGTGTGGGGGAAAGCACTAGAGGCGAGGCGGGGGACCACCCTTTAGTCGGAGAGTTATAGGGTTTAGGGTTTAGGGTTTAGGGTTTAGGGTTTAGGGTTTAGGGAAGGCAACGCCGCACCTGCAAGCTGCCAGAGTTTTTCTTGGCTCGGGGGTTTGAGGCTTGGGGGTTCTGGGGTTTGGGGTTTGGGGTTGGGGTTTAGGGTTTAGGGGTCTAGGGTTTAGGGTTTAGGGTTTAGGGTTTAGGCTTTAGGGCTTAGGGCCGTACTGAGCGCACGCGACTGTCAGCCGACGTGCGAGCTAAGCCGCTACACGTCAGGGCTGTTGCTTGTGGTACTGGGCCTCCTAGCAAAGAAGAACTTTCACAAGAAGGGGTTTGGGGTTTAGGGTTTTGAGTTTAGGGCAAAAGTTTAGGGGTTAGGGTTGGAGCCCCCCATTTTGAGCAGCCCCCTCATGAGCTCAGTAGTGTGTAGGGCTTGGGGTTGAGTTTCCAATTCAGGATTTAGATTTTAGTTCGTGGGGTACCACCCGAACCCTAAAACCCTGAAACCCCAACCCTAAACCCTAAACCCTAAACCCTAAACCCTAAACCCTAAACCCTAAACCCTAAACCCTAAACCCTAAACCCTAAACCCTACACCCCTTTGGAGGGAAGGCGGGACCCTGTGAAGATTCTGGTGGCCAGGTTCGCAGGTTTGATGCATGGTGTCTGGAACTTGGGCATTCTAGGTGTAAGGTTTAGGGTTTAGGGTTTAGGGTTTAGGGTTTAGGGTTTAGGGTTTAGGGTTTAGGGTTTAGGGTTTAGGGTTTAGGGTTAGGGCTCTTTACTTGCTGGTTCTTAGTGAAAGGGCTCTATTCGGGGGCGGGTAAGAGGTTAAACCCGAAACCCTAAACTCTAAGCCCTAAACCCCAATTCCTTACGGTGAGCAAGTAAGTTGAAGCACCAACGAGGCAGAGTTTCTGCGGAGTTGCTTTCACTTCCCACAGTCGCCCCCTGCACCGCAAGCGCGTTTGTGCGCTCTGCTGCACCGCGAACTTGTTGAGTGCGGGGCGCGAGGCTCCTGGGATTACCGAAACTTCTGAGAGCACTTTGAATCTGCCGCCCTGTCAAGCCTAGGCCTGTCCGAGGGTTTAGGGTTTAGGGTTTAGGGTTTTAGGGTTTAGGGTTTAGGGTTTAGGGGTTTAGGGTTTAGGGTGCCAGGGTTTATAGGTGCATGAGGCTCCCCACCACCTTACCGTAGAGGACGACAAGACGCGGCTTGTCTCAACCCGGTTGGGTTTAGGAACATCAGATGGGCTTTCGGCAGCAGAGAGGCAGCACATGGACAGCCTGCTGGAAGCAAGGCGACTTTCATTGAACAAAAACTGGTTGCACGGTAGGTAGTGTTACGAGACCCCTAGCCCTGTTCCACTACCAGCTGCTGCACGCCCAAAACCGGTCCCGAGACCCCCTGAACCCTAAACCCTAAACCCTAAACCCTAAACCCTAAACCCTAACCCCTAAACCCTAAACCCTAAACCCCCAGACCCCGAAGCCCCCAAACCCCTGAACCCTCATGCCTCACCCTTATCCCTAAAACTTAACCCCCCTCGAACCTGGGTAGCCCAGTGGTGCCCTATACCCTTTTTTTGTTCTGGGTTCCCTTGTAAAGTTTAGGGTTTAGGGTTTAGGGTTTAGGGTTTAGGGTTTAGGGTTTAGGGTTTAGGGTTTAGGGTTTAGGGTTTAGGTTGCTGGGCTACCGAAGCCCTGAGCCCAACAAAAACTGTTGAAGCAAAGCCCCGCGAAGGCCCCGAAGGCCTTGTCTTAGGCGCTTAGGAGTACTATACTTTAATACTCTTTTTGGTTTTGGGTTCCCATTATAGCGACTTATACCTAAAAAGTATATACTTTTTTTCCTGGGTCTACTCCAGAGGTAGGTGTCATAGGCGCTTAGGAGTTGGGCGAGGCTTAGCGGTTTCTCTTGGCGGGTTTAGGGTGTCGGGTTTGGGGTTTAGGCTTTGGGGTTTGGGGTTTAGGGTTTCGGGATTTCGGGGGAATTCGGTTTAGGGGTTAAAGGGGTTTAGGAGTTTAGGATTCAGGAGGGGGTGTAGGGTTTTAGGGTTTAGGGGTTCAAGGTTTAAGGGGTTTAGTGGTCGAATTGGCTAGATTTGGGACTTTAAGATTATGGGTTTAGGGTTTAAGCTTTGGCTCTTTTGGTTTAATCTTACGGTATCTTACGGTTTAGTTTTTACAGTTTAGAGCTCAAGGCCCCTAAGCCCTAAGCCCTAAGCCCTAAGCCCTAAGCCCTAAGCCCTAAGCCCTAAGCCCTAAGCCCTAAGCCCTAAACCCTAAACCCTAAACCCTAAACCCTAAACCCTAAACCCTAAACCCTAAACCCTAAACCCTTGTATTGTGGGCTTCTGGCCCTTCTGGACTCTTTCGATTTCGGGTTGGGAGGCTTAAGTATCAAGGCGGGGTTTACGGTTTGAGGGGGTAAGGGTTTAGGGTTTAGGGTTTTGGGTTTAGGGTTTATAGGGGTCGGTCCAGCGCCCCACGTCCTCAGGTTCGGGACAAGGCTCTGAAGCAGCCAAAACAAAAGGGTACCGTCACTGCAATATGGTCATGGGGGCTACCAAGCCTCTAAGCCCCCGCAAGGACGGCTGGGAGGAAGAGGAGGATGCCAAGCCAGCAACCGCCCAGGGTGGAGGATGGGTCATGGGTTTAGGGTTTTGTCATTCGGCAGGGCTCACAAGAGGCTCTCCGAAACCCCTTAGCTGTGGAATGCGTTTATGTGCTTTGGACTTTAAAGCAGGGATCCTGCTGGGATAGGGTCTTTTGGGATATGCCTTGGCCGGAGGCTGTTGTGATCTCTGGGACTTTGGGAGTGCAAGTATCGTACTTTGCGTTTAGGGTTGAAGGGCTTCGGTTGAGGGACCTCCGAGAATGCGCATCAGCGCCCAATGAATCACTACTCAGACGAATTTCGTTTCTACAGACAAGCTGGGACACCAGCTGTGCGCAACCACCTAGACCCGAATACCCTCAACCGTAAAACCCTTAACCTTGGCACAAATACCATAGTACCCTACTACCCTAATCCCCGAATACCTCAATACCTCAATACTTTAAAACCCTCATTCCCTGACCCAATACCCTTAACACTCTGTACCCGAATACCCTGATGCCCGAAACCCAGCAGGGACCCGAATGCAGAACACCTCGTTTCCTCCCACAAGTCCCGGGTAAACAGGTGGTTCGAGTTGGCGTTGCAGGTCTTCTTGCCAAGGTTGCTGAGTCCCTGAACTGCTGCAAACCCTAACTCCAAACCCAAAACAAATCCAACTAACCCCCAAGCCCTAAACCCTAAACCAGAAACCCCAAACCCTAAGCCCCAAACCCCAAACCCTTCGTTTCGCAAACTGAAGCTCTCGGCCTCGATCCTTTTTCCGAGATCTCCGATGCGCCTGTGGCAAGATGCATCTGCGTCGGGGAGACCGCCTGAGACGAGGCCATATAGGGGTTGCCGAAGGGTTTACGATATTAGGTGTGTTGGGTTTAGGGTTTCGGGTTGAGGGGTACCTTTTTGGAGTCCTTATTACAAGGGAATCCTACGATTTGGGCCCCTTATTTTCGTAAACTCCCCTGTAGTCAATACTTAGAATATGGTTTCGGGGTCATTATCGTATATCTGTAAAGGGACCCTAAGGGAATACTATTCGTAATTCTTCCGACCCCCATATTACGCACTTGAAGCTTCATGGGTGCTCTTAAGTAGGGTTGTAGATGGGGGGATTTGTTGCTGGTTTTCTAACCCTGACTGAGGAACATTCATACAACCCTAAACCCTAAACCCGAAACCCTCAACCCTAAACCTTAAACCCTACATAAATCCAACTAAGCACCCAGACTTCAACCCTAAACCCTGCCTTGTCTGAGTCCCCCCCACACCCCCCGGTCCCCCAGTGCGATGTTTGAAGACAGGGCAGTCGCGCCGGCCCTAAACCCACGAAATTTTGAGAGGTAGGGGTTTGGGGTTTGGGGTTTAGGATTTAGGGTTTAGGGTTTAGGGCATAGGGTTTCAGGTTCAGGGTCAAGGGTTTGAGATGCCACTCGCAGCTGCCGCACCAAGCCTCGTGTGCACGGTGATGGCAGTCTTCCAAAGGAGGATGCCCAGTAGTGCCCTTATTCCCTTTTTGGGGGCTCTAGGTTCCCTTATCAGCCCCTTTAAGCAAAAAAGGGCACCCTTTTTAAGCCTATACAGGTTACTGGGCAACCTAGCAAAGGAGTTGCCTGTCTCCGTCAAGGGCTTCACTCAGACCGCAAGACCTCTGGATCCAACATAGCCAGCTTCAGGACCTCGGCTGGGTTATGAGGACCCTAAACCCTAAACCCTAAACCCCAAACCCTAAACCCTACACCCTAAACCCTAAAGCCTAAACCCTAAACCCTAAACCCTAAACCCTAAACCCTAAACCCTAAACCCTAAACCCTAAACCCTAAACCCTAAACCCTAAACCCTAAACCCTAAACCCTAAACCCTAAACCCTAAACCGTAGAAGATTGGAAGATCATGGCAAGATGGAATGCCTCCTCGTATGCGCGGAGACCAACATGCTTTCCAATATTTTTTTCAGACACAGCCTCTTTTGATACCTTTTTACGGAAG